TGAAACAATGCAAACACAACCAGAGCATTTTGGAGCAGTGGTATGTCGTGTCAACCTGGCAGATTCCAGACTAGTGCTAAAGTATTTTGGTAGCTTTGCTAATAGATGGAGAGGAGGTTGCTTTAAACACTTCCATCTGTGTAATAGAGGTGATATTGCTACCTGTGTGGTCTATTTCACTCTCAGTGAGAGATATAAGGATTTGGAGGTTTTTGGCATTTCTGTTTAAGGAGCTCAGAAATACAGATGCTGTTACAAATGTGTAAACACACACCTCTTACTGTATTTCATCCCTTGAAAGTTTCAACTTTTTAGGGCTGCTTTCTGGCCTTCTATTTATCCTTTTCTTTACGTTGGTTTATGTTCTAAACAAAACTCTTCAACATCTGTCACATTCAAAGAGAGGCTGTTAATTCTCTTGTATTTGAGACTTTTAACAGAAACATGAAAAAAAGAACCTTACAAGGAAGTCTTAGCTCCACAGTAACAGTTCTTCCTTTGCTAGATTGAAAAAGCAAAATGGACCCTCAGGTGGAAGGAACCCATAAAACCTTGCACAGCTTCTTTCTGATATTGTCTTCTAGTTTAGTGTCATTTACCAAAACTAGTCAACAACAAAAAAAAGTTTTGATGCAGTTTTACTCCCATGTTTCATGCTTCTGCAACAGGTCTATCTAATCTATGCAAGCTCAAGTTTTTTGACATGATTTTCAATGCCAAACTGAAGGTGGTAGTGGTGAACATGTTACTGTCACAGAATACGTGCAATTGTTTATTTTTATAGCGTAGAGTGGATTTACTAATTGATAGTTAAAGATGATATTTATTTTTATTCTATCTGGCAAGGGCTGTATTATACCCAGTTTTTTGGTTTAGCATTGGCTGATACTCATGGCACACACAATTCAGCAGCAAGCAGCTCTGAAAATTTCTGATAGCTACAGTGAAAATCCTTCCAAAATTTTTAGTTTCTTTCTGATTTAAGACTCACTTCTGTGAGCTGCAGATTAGAGGGGTTTAGCAGTAAACCAGTTCCTATTGGAAAAATCTGTCGAAAGTGACGTTTTTAGCCAGTAGCGAATGAGGATCAGACATCTGGTGTTACTATGAACCCAATCTTCACTAATCTAGAGCTGCAAAAGTTAAATGTGCTAAAGCCAGAAACTTCAGCAAGCCAGAGCATGCTCATGCTCCAGTTTGTCACTGAATTAGGTCAGGTTTATATAACTCCTCAAACTCTCCTGCTTTACTACAGCATTATTTCCAGGATGATCAGCTATGAGACATATCTGCTTGCAAAGTGTTTTGAAGCTAGGGATTGCAAAGGCTTCTTGACTCTCACTCATAACAGATGGCTCTCTAAAGTTTCTGAAATACCTGACATCTCCAGGACTAAGACAGACCAAATAGCAAGACTGGATATTGGTAACTTTGTCCTGGAGGTCTGGAGAGCTGCTGGCTAACCTTGTCCATTTCCATTGCCAACCAGGGCACATTTTACTGTTGCTATAGCTCATAGTTTTCAAGCTAAATATTGACTAAGTATCGTAAGACTTTCAGATGTGTGCATTTGTCCCATTTTGGTATTTTCATTCTAATTTAGCTTGAGCTTGATATGTCTTCCATTAATTTTAAAATTACCAGCAAGTTAATTTGATTTCCTAGCCAACAGTTATGCTGAGCATTATTTTTTTCCATGTGGTGTTTGTGGGAGTAGAGGGCATGGAACATTTTGTTTGTTTGGGCCCTTTCTCTTCTAAAAAAAAAAAAGTCTACAGTAGAAACTTGCTTTGACTTTTGTTTATTAGGAAATTCACAGGAACTGCTGTGTGAGCAATCCATGCATACCATGTCCTCATCTTGTGTGGTTACTTCTGCATTTTATCACTGTAGCTGAACAGCATTGCTTTTGGAACAGACAGATTCCCTCCTAGATATTTTAGGAAGGAATTCTGATGTTTTAAGGTTAAACTGAAAGGTTTCAATGAATCCTCCTATTTCCTTGCATTACCTCTGGTTGTAATGGTGAGCCAGCCATTTTCCTTTTGAAAATGATCTTTCATGAACCAAGTACCCAATTCTTAGCACAATTAAAGTAAGCAAGATACAACAGCATAAGTCTTGGGACTGTCTTGGGCCCCAGTTATGTTCCTCCTCACTTACCTGTTCAGATTTGTATAGGTGTCTTTGCATTAGGTGGAAAGATACACCTTTACATACTCCTTTTCTTCATAAAGTAGAAGTCAAGGGTGACCATACAAGGCCACAGCTGTGAGCAATGTGTGGCCAGTGATGGTCAGCACACTGCTGGTTTCTCAGCCTTCCCCAGCTGATGTTGTGAAGTACAGTGATTCACCACTAAAAGTTTTGTGGCAAGGTGATAAAGAGATAACATGATGCCATGTAGATAAACAGATGATTAATGGCTAAGGCGGGTCAGCATGGAATACTGATAGGGAGGGCTTCGCAGAGGTGCTGTGGTTGTTTCAGGGCATTACTGTTTCAGACTTCAGCTGACATCTCAGTAATCCCATTTCTGAAGTAGATTTAATAAAATGTGAAAACACCTAAAATATTTCAACAAGGAATCTAATCTAACTTAATTCAAAATAACTCAGTAACTTAATGTGACAACTCACAATAAGTTTATGCAGCTAGTGTCAGCAGCCCTGTGAATCGTTCTAACAGTCTGCAGGCAAATTTTCTTTGAAAGCTTTGTATTGAAAATATACAAGGATGTGTTGGGTAAATTGTCATGTAAGAAGACAAAGACCAATTTTCAGTTTCATTTGAAGACAGAATAAAACGCCTAGGAAAAGGATGTAATGACTCATGTAAGAGTAATCACGGTTTATGCAGGGCTGCCCAGCTACTAGTCCCATTACTGAGCACCCAGTCGTGTTACTAAGGAAATTACTACTGCTTTTCTAGGTCTTATTCATAAAACATGACAATGAACCATGACATTACTTCCTGCGTAATGCCTGTGCCTGAAAATTCCCTGAGATTTTTCATATCTGTCAATGTATATGTTACGACTGATGATTATGTGGTAACTGATCTGAATTTTTGGCATGGTATTTTAGAGATTTTTCAGTGAACTACGGAAGATATGGTAGAAACAAAACCTTTTCCTTTATGTAATGAGGAAAATACTAGTGTGCACTTATGTAGTGTGTTTCACTCGATGGTACTCAGAGACATGGTTTAATGGGTAACATTGGTGGTAGGGGGATGGTTGGACCAAATGATCATGGAGGTCTTTTCTGACCTTTATGATTTTATGACAACTGAGAAAGTACTATATGGTCTTTCCTGTGAATATATTTACCACTGTGATGTATGTTAGAAAAAACTTACAGGAGGTAAGTGGATTCATCAGAACATTAGAATGAAAAGCGTAAGCCAAGTGTCTCAACTCTTCTTTCTATGTTCTCACTATAATTATGTTTTTCTTGCACAGGACATAGTGAGACATTTTGTTGTCCAGGACAGGATCACATTCTGGCGGTATGGGTTCCTTTCCCCCTCTCCCTGCTCTTCCCCTCCCTCCCACAGCTGTACATGTATTTTGAAGAAAGATTGTGCCTGAAATACCATATGGGAAATCCCCATAGATTGTTCCACATGGCATGACATTCTGGAATCTGCCACTGTGGCTGAAATGTTTATCGTTTATATCGATTTTCCTGTCCTTAGTACTTACCTGATTTTGCACAACTGGCAGTGACAAAAGCTACCATCACAGCTTGCCATCAGCTATCCCAGATTTGCCATCTTTCCTAGTTCACCAGTATCTCAAATGTCATTGCATTTGGGAAAACCTTTGTTGAAAAAAAAAAAGTGGGTTTAGACCTCATTTTGTGTGAGAACAGTTTGAATTTAGATTGTAACTTCAAGATTTTGTTCAGCATCAGTATAACGTTATTATGTTCTGTAATTTGGGAGGAAATACATGTAGGTACAAAGGTGTCCACCAGCATGCCACCAGTGGTGAGTGAGGTCCTGCCACAAGGGAGTGAATCCTTCGGGAAACTGTCATCTTTTATTTTTTTTTACCTAAACGTAACTGTTTTTGAAGTAGTTGCTGTAAAAGGGGTGTGGCAATACCAACGGTAATGTTTTCCTACTGCTCACGCCTTCCTTACGGAACCAAAGTGGAGTTGCTATGGGGAGGGAAGGCACCAGTCAGAAATGCCACTGTGAGCTTCCTGTACTTTAGAACGTCAGACAAATTTATTTTTCCATTCTTCTATTTTTCTCTAGTCTCTTCTTCCTCTACGACATATTGGAGTTCTCTCTACATATATATATATATATATAATTATATTTATAATTATATATATTATATATATATAAATTCTTGTATTAAACTAACCATTTTACTTGAGTTTTCTTGATTTCTCAGACTTTTCCAATAAATTTAGTCTCCCAATACTTAATTCTGCAACATACAGGATGGCTAAATAGTCTTAGCTTGGACTGATAGGAGCAATCTGTCACAGAGAAGGCTGTGGTGTGTACCTGTACGCATGCACAGGCCGTGTTCGGACTAAAACAAGCAATAAATGGGATTACCTCGGGAAAGGAGATGGGTGACCTGAATACATGTCTTAAAGGTGATACTGAAAAGGTAGAGGGGAGTGGGTTGGGTCCTTGTGGATCCTTGTGCTGTTCTTCAGGGCATAAAGAGAACTTGGCATTTGTGGTTGTGTGAAAGGAGAGGGCAGTGGGTTTGTTGTCTACGGCCAGTGTGTTACTACTGCCTGATCCTCTGCAGGTATTTGAGTCTTTGTGTTAGGAAGTATGTTGTATAGCACCAGCATGTTGTACAAATATCTTCGTGTGACGTGGTGGGATGAGGGGAAGGCTGCTAAAGTCAGTAACGTGGAGAGTGAGCAGTGACACTCCCAATTGTCCGTCAGCGGGGTGCATTTGGGAAACTGTTACTTTTCGCCTCGCAACCCTGGTTCAGCGGCAGAACTTACGGCAGCCAAGTTGTTAAACGCATGAAACGGGGCCCGGGGAGGTGACCGCATGTCAGCGCCCGGCGTGGCGGGGCCTCGGAGGGAGTGGCCGGGACCGGCAACCGCCGCCCGCCGCTGCCCGAGCCTGTCGCAGCGCCCCGGCCCCAGCCGCAGCCGCAGCCCCCGGCGGCCCGGCCGCGGCAGCAGGTGAGGGGCGTCCGGCAGCCGGGCGCGGCGCCTGAGGTGAGTCCCGCGGAGAGGCGCGGAGCCGGGGCAGCGGAGGGGCGCTCGGGGGGGGCTGCGGCGGAGTCCCCTTGGGGGCGGTTGTCGCCAGCTGCCGCCGCGGCGGGGCGGCTCTCCGGCACGTCCCGGCTCGCCGCCTGGGAGCTCGCCCCGAGCGCCCGGCACCGCGACGGGAGCTCGGCCTGCGCCCGAGGGGGCCGCGGCGGTGGGAGCGGTGGGTGCGGGACGGCGCCTTGCTCGGGGCGGAGCGCGGAAAGCTGGCACGCCGCCACGGCCAAGGGTCCGGCGGGCAGCCCTGGCCCTGGCGGCCGTGAGGCGGCGGCCCTCGGGGACGGCCGGGCCTCCGCCCATAGCGCGGGGTCCGCGGGAAGCTGCCGGGTGGTGCCCAGCTGCAGAAAGGGCGCGCTTGAGATACCGAGGTACTTGCCGAGGACAGAGAAAGGAAATGCTCTTCTTAGTGACTTGTTCTTTTCTTCTCTCAGGCGCTCGTATAAAGGCTCTTTTTTTTCTGTCCAAATTTGCAATTTAGATAAGTTGGTTGTTAGTTCAAAATAACAAAGCGAGTATTTGCTGCTGAAAAAAAAATTTGAAATATTTGGTTTGCAGTTAGAGTCATTTTTTCTTCTTTTTGGTACTAAAATCGTGGGAACAGAGCAGCAAGCAAAGTAATAAATGACTTCCTATATGAGAGGAGGAATAAAAGCTTGTATTTTGAAGCTTTAGCTGAAAAAATGCTTAGATTTGACAGTAGCCTTGGTGATGTCTGCTTCTGCCAGCAAAATGGGGATAGAATGGTTATTGCAAGTTAAGGCTTCAGGATTACTGGGCTGACTGGTTGGGCATGTAGGTTTCTGAGATAATTTTATAGTATAGGCCAAATGATGAGGTCTGTACGTGTTTATTCTTGAGAACTCTTCAGTGATCACTTTTTCATGTTCTGCATGCGTTCTGGTTCACGAGAGTACTAGTTATAAAGCACATTTAAAATATATTGTCAGATTACAGTGCAAGGATGTATGCGGGAAATGATGTGTGTATGCATGGATACAAGGAAGGAGGAGAGCAAGAAGAGTTTGATGACTCAGGAGCCTTTGGAAGCACTGACCTGTCTGTAATCTGGTGCTGAGTTTTTGATGTTTGACAGACTCATGTGTTTTCTGATAGTAGCTTAAAGCCTTTGAACTATCGTGTATGCTTTCTCAATCTATTTCTCCTTATCGTAACAGGCTGTAGGTTATCGAACCTTAATATTCTTCTCATAGTCCTGCGACCTGTTTGCTATAGCAGCTACTGCAGAAGTTTATCCTGTTTAAAATACAAACAAAATAAAAAACATAAAATGCAGATTGTAGCCATTTTAGGAGTAGAAATAATCTCTCTTTTATTACACAAATGAAAAAGACTACGTTGCTTCTTGGGAAATAACATGTCATCTGCCTTCAGTTTATAGCAGCTTTATTTTTGATTTCATTTCTTCCCCTAATATATTAACTTCTGTGGCTTTTCAGTCATGCTTTTTGTGTTTCCCTAAGTTTTTCTATTACTACACAAAAAATAAACCTGAGGAAATTAAATTTATCTTTTTTTCTTTTTTTTTTCCCCCTGAACTTGGCTTTCTTTACCACTGAAATTGATTGCTTTCTTTAGTTCCCACATGGATATCCATAGCACATGTAAATGTACCAAGTAGCTCAACGGCAAGAGAAGAGTTTTATATCCCCACTCCTGTTACTGTTTTGGAGGGAGGGAGGGAAGATGGAGGAAACTTGTATGGAAATGTACTGTGTCAAAAGTAAGTATGGTTTTCATGAAAGTTGACTACATCCCATAACAACTAGAGAACATAAGGCAGTTTTTGACTGGATGTGTTAAACCATTTTCAACCCTCTTAGCTTCATAATAATATATAATGATAAAACAATGGTAAAAACTGAGTCAAGTGTTGTACCATGGGTGATATAAGCAACAGGTGTAGACTTCAGTGAGTCTTAAGTCCAGGGGATTCTCCTTGTTAGGAGTAAGGCTTTGAGAGAAGTGTGAATCTTTTAATGTCCAAAACTGATGTAGTTATAATTCAGAGTTTTGAGATAGCTTGAGAGTCTGATTCAGAGCTCGGAACTGCTTTTCAGTTCCCTTTTATGAGACTTCCATTAGCATGACCATGTACTTGCTCTATTTGTTATGCTGTTCACGAATCTCTGAGGCCGAAGTGGAGATTGCTTTTCCTTCCTTTACCCTCCTCCAGTGTGCTGAAACAATGAAGTAGCAACCATTGGCACCAGTTGTGCTGTGTTGTGGGTTGGGAGGGCCTCTTGTTCTTGTACCTGTGTCAGGTTGAATGGAGCTTCAGAATGCTTCGGACTGCAAACTGCATCGGCAAGTATGTGAAGACTGAGCTGGAAAGTTTGTGTTTGCATCCCAAAGCTAAAAGGACATAAACAGAAGAATTTCCGTATATTATTTTTGAGCAAAGGAAGTTGTTTGTTTGTTTGTTTCATTGTTTATATGGTTCTCTTTGGTTTTGAGCAATGATGTGAAGAGACGCACACCCCACTGGATTAGATCTTGGTTCATGTTTGGTCTTGCCCACCAGATAGGTATTTTATTCTGTGTCTGATCTCATATGGTTTCCTAAAGGCCATGTTGGTTTTAAAGATGACTTAGTTTGTGTTCCCTCATTCCCATTCACAACAAAAAGACAGGACATACCACAAATTACCTGGAAGCAGTTCATGCCCTCCAGTTCTCTGAATGCAGAATCCGACTTCTGCCAATTATACTTCTGCCTTATACTTTCCCTAATTACAGACTGAAGAAAGAGAAATTGCACTCTCTATAAAAAATATCAATGTGGACTTTTAAGTTACTTTTGGTCTCTCCTTCCGCTATAATTTCTACCATTTCCATTGTTAACTGCGTGATGACAGATATTTTAAGTTCACTGTCTCTTAGGGAGTAAAACTGCCAGGGGTTCTATCTCTAGCAAAGTCAAACATTCTTTGAATCATACGTTAAAGTATTTGAGATATTCCAGAGTCTTCAGCTGAGGAGGCTTCCTCCTGCAGTGTTTACATTGAGTACAAGAAAAATGTATGGACAGTTTGGCAAGACTTTTGTTACCAAGCTAATTGTTGTAATTCGTAGTTTACAATTGTGAAGAACACTTAGTATAGGAGCAGATAAGCAAGCAGATAAATTTGTATAGAGGTTAGCAGACCTGTTTGTTTTGTTTTTTGAGGGGAGGATTGCTTGAAATATTGAATATATCAAAGCTTCTGTGCCCGTGTAATTGTGGCTAACTGTATTGCAAGTTTTTGAATGTCTTGAGATTCTTACATTTGGGACTCTAACTCAACTCCTCAAAACAAAACTCAGATGTGAATTTTAGGATTAGGTGTTGAATATGTGAATTGGAGGATGTTATTAAGGGAGTAAGTTACGCGGTACAATGATTAGGACATAACTGAGGGTGTCTGGTTCGGTTTTCTTTAAAAAGGGCTTGTTAGGAGGGGAGGTTAAAAGGAAAATAATGTACTTCAGGAGATCATCATTTATTTGGTGAAAAATTCCAAGATCAGATTAGAATCCTATTAGATTGATATAATTATCCTGTGATTGAATTAGGAGAAGGGACTCTTACCTTTCTTTGTGGATCCTCAAACACATGGTGACTGAGAGTGTACTGTCATTGTAAGCCTATCATGGACTCAGCTGGTATCAGCTATTAAACTGAAGTGTCTATTGTTTTAAAGTGTCTTGGTTTTGCTATCCATCCACATGAACTATCGTGTTTCATAGTGATGATCTTGCAGAAAGGCCAAGGAAAATCTTGCTGAATGGATAAAACACTTAAATAGTCAGAATTCAGAGTTTCGGAGGTTTTTTTTTGTAAACCAATAAGAAAATATTATTATTAAATACAGAATCTTAGCAGCCCCAAAATAGGAGAATAACAATACATTTATGCTGTATGAGCAAGCTAGCCTCCATTTTTTAGGCCATTTATAAATGGTGATTGCTTCCTTACTACATTAAACACAAAAAGGTTGAGTTTTCAAATGATTGTGTGAATTATAAGGAGCTTATTCCCTCTCCTCCTCCCCCACCCCCCATATTGATTGAGATCAATTTTATAATTCCTTTCTAATAATAAATTAATTTACAAATTAATTTACTGGAAATAAGCTCTGTCATTTTACTCTAGCTAGGAAATTGTAGCCTTGTGGTAAACATTTGCATTTTAGAGCTTCCCCTCTGTACCAGTTGTTTTGTTTAATAATGGACACAATACAATTGTAATACAAGCCTGGCTTTATGACAGTTTTGTTTTGTTTTGAAAATAATTATTAATACTAACCAGCAGAAACTGTCTTCAAGGCATTTGATAAATGGAGAGGTGACTTAGTATTTCACATCAAGGGACCATATGATGATTTAAGATAAAGATTTTTTTATTATGATTATTTTTGGTGAGCGTGTGGTTTGGTTTCTCTAGGGTTTTGAAGTGTATTTAGATCTACACAACTAACAGTTTCACTTCTTCTTAACTTCTCAGCTCTTTTCTATTCTTTTCAACAAGAAACATTACCGAGGTCAAACAGATTCTCTCTCAGACCAGAGATGCTATTTCCAGAGGCTTTTCTACTAAAGTATATAGCAGCTCTGTTGAGAGTCTTGGCAGATTTGAAGATGAAAAAAATCATAATCTAAGCGTTTCTTATCGTGAGCAAACATTTATTGTAGGGCCTTCAACAAGGGAGAAATGGGAAGGGGTTTGTGGTGGATGTCTGGAAACTTTACCCAGCCTGTGAATCTCTCTTCAGTGCAGCTGACAGAAGATAGCAGAATTCTTTCATAGGTTTGACATCAGCTTTAGTGTTACTGTAAAACTAAGCCTGTTATGATAGTCTCTGAGCAGAAAAAACAGTAGTTTCAGTGCAGTGACACTTTTGTAGTCTTTGTTTAGCTGAGGCTGGAGAAGGGGGCAGGAGAGTATAGAACCAGCTATGTTTTTGTTGCAGCACCTGTACATTTCTCCAAACCAGAGGAATTCTTGTGTAGGTTTAAGAAGCTGACTTCCAGGCTGTTGGACCTTTGAGGTACTACTCTTTTTTTCTGACATGAAACTAGACTAAAGTCAGAACAGATTCTTTCTAACTTCTATCTCCAAAAAGCTTTCCTGGCTTCTGATTTCATATCAGTCTGTGCTGCTCATGCACTTTTTCCAGTTTTCATAGGAGACACCTGGTTGACTAGTACCTGGCTCAAATAATGTTGGATTGGATGACTTTACGACGTTCATTCCATAGAATAGCTTTTGCAGTCTAACATACCTGGATAGGATAAGGCAGCTCGTCTTCTGTCATGTAACACTATGAAGTGAAGTAAGCTTTTTTTTTTTTTTTTTGAGGATGAGTACAGGGATCTGTTAATGTGCCTGAAGTGTTTGTCTCTGAGAGTTTTTTGCTCATGATAACAGAAAAACCTGTACTGTACAGCAGGTTACAACAGATGGTACAAGAGACTGACAGCTATGCAAATCCCTAATGTCAGCAATGATTTGAGCCAGCAGTCTGTGCATGCTGCAGAAGAGAATTCCAGTAATTTGTTGCTGCCCTTATCTCTCGGGTAGAGCCCTTTAGTTTTCAGCTTGTTGTAAATATGTGACCAGTTCTCTGCTAGATTTATTACTTGAGCAAGACTTTTCAGGAAGTATTTCCCTCACAGTGTGCCAGCCACTGGATTTAGAAGTGTCCAAACCAAGCTGTAGAGTGCCCTTTTATTTTTGCCTAAATGCTCTTAAAATTTTGCTTTTTGTTAATGATTCTAAGTTGATGTCTGACTCCTCAGAGGATGTGCATAAGCAAAAAAGGAGGAACCTCATACAGAAAAATGGAGAATAGTTCAGGGGTCTGGTGCTGCATATGTGCTCAAATCAGTTGTTTTATATTGTGACTTCTCATGTATGTAAAAGTTAGTATGCACATCCTTGACACATGCAGTTGGGAGCAAACGTGACTTGATTATAATACAGCCTACCTCTTGAAGAAACTGACTGCCTTAAAGCAAAGCAGAAGTTCGGTTTTAAGTGCTTTTGTTAATTGTGGTATTTAATTTCCATTAAAATGGGGCTTTGATTGATGTCCTTTGATTTTTTTTTATTTTTTTTTTTTCCAGAACCAAGAATGATAGCTGCAGGGAAATTTGCAAGTCTTCCCAGAAATGTCCCGGTGAATCATCAGTTATCATTAGCTTCTTCCATGGACCTTTTGACCACCAAACCTTCACTAGCTGAGCAGCACTCAGACTCCTTTCAAGACATCTCTATCCATGGCACTCTCCCCAGGAAGAAGAAGGGGACAGTTCCCATTAGATCCTGTGATGTATTTAGCCACATGGGAACGTTACCATACACCAGAACACACCGGCAGCAGCCACCTTTTATACAAGATGTCATAGAAGAGAATCCTCTACCAAATGGAAAGAGCAACAAACTCCATGCCAGGTACTTGTAAAACCTTAATTTACATTTGCTTGTTGCGTAGGAATTATTAGATATTTCTCTAAACCTCTAAATGTCTAGTTAGTGGTGCAGATGTTTCTTGTAACTTTGAGTGCTAATGGAAGTTGATTTCTTCTCATGTACTCAGTTTAGCTCTTGATGGCAGGAGACAAACACAAAAAAAAAACAATGTGAAACAGGCAATATTTGGGATTGTGTGGGAATCTGATGCATAGATTTCAGGAATTCTGAGAATTTCTTTTTTGACTTAATATCTCAGGCTTTAACATAATTTCCCTTTTCCAGTAAGATCAGTCAGTATGGGCTGTTCAATATGAATGCCTGTTTAAAATTACCTTCTATGTCACTGTGTCTGTGGCTCTTAAGGATTTGGATATTTAGACATCTGTGGAGCTTTTCAACAATAATTTTCAAGGACTAGGTCTTGCCTCTGAACCTTTAAAAGGTATAGCATTGCTATACTGTTTCCATGGAGGAAACTTTTTAAATAAACTTTAACTTTTTTATTTAAACTTTAAATAAAGAATCAGAAATCACTGAATTGCTTTGTAATGGCCCTTTGCATTGTTCTAACAGAGCAGTTTTAACCAGAAAATCAAACTGGTCAAACTTGTTTTGGATTTGAATTCAGTGCTTACAGGGATGAAGTGTGGAGGAAAGGAGAAAATGGTACTCTAGCTACTTCCTACCTAGAGCTATGTGTGAGCTGTTGTTCTTGAAGACTCTGTAGAACCCAAAGGACGCTCATCAAACTATTCCCATAGTAGTCATTGCCTAACTTCTGGTTATATCCATGACTCCTGAGAAGAATTCTCAAGAATCTTGAATTCTGCTTTCATAGCTATGAATTCTGCTTTCACAGATAGCTTTTGTTTAGGGAATCTGTCTTCACCACCAATATTAATTGCCACAGAAAATAATTTTGCAATTAGCTTTGTTTGTTCTGATATTTAGGTCTATAAAATGGGGACATTTTTTTCAGCTAACATAAGAAAACTTCAGTGCAATATAGTGGATCTATTAAAGGCACAAAGGTGAGTGAGCGTGAAGTTGTTTGGGTGACAGAGATAAAGGTTGAGGAAAAGGTAACTGAGTAACAACTTCTGAAAAAGCATACACAGTTTGCTTCTTTCATTTATAGGATATGTTCTCAAACCTCATGAGAGAAGGAGAGTTCTAATTATATGGGGTTGTGTGTGTACAGTGTTTTTTGTTTGCTTTCGCTTGTGGCATACAAGATCAAACTTTCTCCTCACTTGAAAATAAATTTTTCTTCTCTATATCCCTCTTACTTGTGAAAGAAAAAAGGACCTCAACATGTTCAGTATTCTGCTGTCAATGACCTCTGAGACATACCTGCTTACACAAACTGACTTCTTAACATAATTTACGTCTTTGATTCTTGTTCTTTTAGAGAACCCAAGCAGCCATGGTTGCTGCTATTAAAAGAATATGATGGTATACATAGAAGTTTTCTTACACCTTCCTTCCCAGGAGCAGTTAGTAAACATGATTTGCAAGAGGTGTTTTTTCTCTTGGGAGACTAGAACTTCTACATTAAATATAGAATACTTGTAACTGATAACTTTCTTTGTCCTCTGAAGAACACCTCTGTGCAAGCTGTAAGAGTAAGAACAGAATGCTTGCAAGGAAAAGGTCAAGAAGTTCTGTCTAATCAGAATGAAAACAAAGCTTTTGAAATGATAAGGAATTCAAAGGATGTTGTCAGTCTAGCCTATTCATAGAATTTGCATATTTTGAGTCATAACAGCAGGTACTGTTCCTGTGTTTGATTTTCCAGCGGCTTTGCTAAAATACACAGGTGATACTATGTTAACAACTGCTGCCTTTCGCTTAATTTTAACAACAGATCTTTATACAGTCTGCTCCATATCCTGACAGCCCAGTTACATTGGAGCAGGAGGTACTGTTGACTTGACAGCAAATATGTCACTTCTCGAGTCTCCTTTGGATGACTGTACTATTTGCTAGTATATTTTAAAAGAAAACTGGGAGAGCAAGTCTGAATTTCCTGTGGTAAGAGTTCTGCTGTATATGCTAAGGTACATGTATATTCTAATGCTTACACTCAAATTGAAATTAGTTGAGACTGACAGTATAGGGAAGTCCACATTACCTTATCTGTGTTTTATGAAAACAGCCCTGTAATAGTTTGATTCTTGTAGGGTCATACATATAATGTTACAAGGATATTCTCATTAGGAGTAAGGCAGCCTTTCATGGCTTTAATGCTGTTTACAAAAAATGTGTGAACACGTGTTTTAGTCAAACTTCTTCTGATGCATTGTTCAACTCTGGTGCTGTATTTGGCATCAGCACACCAGAACTAACAGTCATTAGGACTGCAGTGTTCATGTGCATGTGGATCTGGTTATGCTGAACTTTGACTCAGACATGTCCATAGCTTTAAGCTTGATAACATCTAATTTTAAAAGCATAATTATGGTAACATTTTCAATAATTCAGAATGAGTAATATAGTCTTTAATCAAATGTATTTATATAAATAAACGTACTTATTTATATAAATACATAATTTTGTGTTACAAAAAATAGGACAAAGTAAGTTAGTAAGTTTGTCCTAAAAATAGGACAAACAAAGTAAAGAGAATGGGGAAAGAAGATAATAAATTGTATGATTACCTAATGGAACTCTTGATTTCCAGAAACTTCTGTCTTATGTGACAGCTAACTAATTACATTGCTCTGTAGATAAGATGGAATATACATGTATGTATAATTATTTTTGTAGGATTATATTCTGTTGGGTTTTTATATTTTTACAACCAGAAAAATATGTCTTTGTGGAATTTTTAGATTTCTTCTGGATTAACATAGAAAAATATAATTCTGATGTACAAAAGCATTCTTCTAATGTTTTGGTAGCTACTTCATGCAAATGTTTCAGGAAAAAAACAAACCACACAAGAGATGAAGATGCAAAAACATGATAGTCACTTCTGAAAACTTGGAAATAGTATTTGTCGGCTTTCAGTAAAGGAAGATTGTGTTCTCTATTTGGTTTGGGAACGCATAACTGTGCTAGTTTGTTAAGAGGAAAAAAAGCTTTATGAGAAAGACTGTATGCAATTTTTTCACGTCTCTTGGAAATAATTCAATGGCCAAAATTAGAAGTAACTGAGCACTTGAAAGCTATTCTGTTTTATGAGAGAACTCTTGTTTTAGCTTGTAAAGCTGCTTGTGTGTGATATTTTTTTTATCTGATATTGACAATTAATCCTAAATAAAACAAAACTGGAATTTCCCTTTGACACCTGATCCATAGCTCACCCATGTTTAATTAGCTTGACCTTGTTTTATGATGTCTTTATTTAAAGAAGAAAACCTTCAAATGCATATCTGTTGGTAGATTTAAAAAATACGTATTTTTTGTATTGTGTATCTGCTGGGTGTAGGGCAGGTAAGGGGTAGGTTGAGGTCAGCTTCATTCTTTCATTGAGAAATTGGGCAAACCATCTGTAACACCTTCCAATGCTCACTGAACCCTGTTGCAAAAGATCAAAATGTCACAAACAACCTGTAAACATGTGTTTATACACTAGCCCAAAGAATCTACGTACAAGCACTAAGAATGCACTTCGTGGTTCTGAAAGTATGGTAGGTGTATCCAGCTTTATATTTAGCCTGACTTCAGTCTGTTTCAACTTGAGTACTGATTAGGAAACTTTGTAGTTTTTTTTGAGTCAGCTCTTTTTTTCCCCGCAATTTCAGATAAAGTGCTATCATCTAGCATTGGACTTTCTGTTGGCCACAGTTGAGTTATTTCAGACAAGATCAGTTTATCTGGTCATTTAGGATGTTCTGTACTCTATAATATTTCTGATCTTCAGGGCTTTGCACATTGAGCTGGATGAAACTTATATAGTTCTCTCAAATATGTGATAACTTCTTAAATAACTGTCCAGGGGGGAAAAAAGTTCAATTTTAAACTGACTACTACCACTGACATCAGTAGGATAACTTTATCAACAGAAAGCTAAAGAGATTCACTGTCCTCTGCAGAATTGTCCTTGGTGAGCAGTACATTTGGAAGTTAGCAAGGTGTTGGTACTGAGTTATAAAGCCATTGATGGATCTTAGGTTCTCTTTGAATTGTTGTTTAAGGTGAGGAGGAACTTTTTATAAAGCACAAAACTTTTGAAGTAAAAATAATTGGTTTTGGTGTAATGCTTGACATTTCCTCTTAGTATGTGCTTTATTTTCCTGTAACAGACCTGTAATAGACTGTTTGTGGTTGTGTTTTTTCATGGGAGTAAGACAAGCATGGTAAATTTAGAGCTACTGAATATGTTTTTGACTTCTCCCATATGCAAACAAATGCTTTTTCAAAAGGAAGGGTTCCTTAGAAGTTGCCAAAGCTTCATGCTTTTTGTATAGAAGTCTCTGCAGGAGGATCTGGATAGGCTGCACCGATGGGCTGAGGTCAACTGCATGAAGTTCAACAAGGCCAAGTGCCGGGTCCTGCACCTGGGGCGCAATAACCCCAAGCAGAGCTACAGGCTGGGAGATGAGTGGTTGGAGAGCTGCCAGGCAGAGAAGGACCTGGGAGTGATGGTGGACAGTCGGCTGAATATGAGCCAGCAGTGTGCTCAGGTGGCCAAGAAGGCCAACGGCATCCTGGCTTGTATCAGAAACAGTGTGACCAGCAGGGCTAGGGAGGTGATCGTCCCCCTGGACTCGGCTCTGGTGAGGCCGCACCTCGAGTACTGTGTTCAGTTTTGGGCCCCTCGCTACAAGAAGGACATCGAGGTGCTTGAGCGGGTCCAGAGAAGGGCGATGAAGCTGGTGAGGGGCCTGGAGAGCAAGTCCTATGAGGAGCGGCTGAAGGAGCTGGGCTTGTTCAGCCTGGAGAAGAGGAGGCTCAGGGGCAACCTTATCGCTCTCTACAGATACCTTAAAGGAGGCTGTAGTGAGGTGGGGGTTGGCCTGTTCTCCCACGTG